TTAGCTGACTCCGGGTTTCACAGAGAAGAGGAACATCAAAGTGAGAAAAATTCGAGGGGGGGGGGGGGGGGAACAGAAGAGTGATTCAGATATGCAAAAGAGACACACAGACACAAAGCCAGAGAAAAGGTAAGATGAGTACTGTGTAATGGTGGAATATGACATAGTGTCGGGTCAAAGTAGTTTGAAGTCAGAAGTCAACTGCCGATTTATAGACTTTTGCTGAATGAGTATACGTTGCCCAGGGTGCATCCCGTGAAGGTAAGTCTATCGCATACCCCTAAACAGGCTGAATACAGTTGTTCAAACAGGCATCTATGAGGACATCATGCTTAAAGCAATAAAATAGTCAAAAGGAACTGATGATATCGATGGTGAAGTGGAGGTAGGGACGCCCTTGTGTGCATAGAGAAGAAGTAGATTTAATTCAAAGCATAATAGGACAATTGCATGGACCTCGAGATACAGTTGGAGTGGAGTAGTGTATAACACTTCGATACTACAATTATCCCTCAAATTTCTAAAGCAGCACTAATCCCATCAGTGGAACTACTTCCTCAATACTATCAATTTAGTCTAGATACGCCTTGCACTACTCTAAGGGTACGCAGGCGACGGTAGTCTTTTGCGGATAAGAACGCTAAAAGTCGAGTAATGGGCAACCGTAAAGAAATGGGAGGAAGGAGTAGGTATTGACAATAGGAAAGGAGGCGTCATGAATGAACATGTAGAAAAGAGGTTGTGATAGAATTGAGATTAAGGTACCACACGTGGCTTGTATGAGGAACACCAGGATGGTGTACAGCCAATCAGGGAGGACGTGTTATTTAATCACTCGTTCGTGTTTTACTTTGAACGAGTAGTCAGTGGGGGGAGGGGGGGGGATGGGGAAGAAGAGCTACCCAGTGCCCATGGTCCCGAGTAGACCTCCAAACAAAAGAAAACAATAATGCATGGGTTACTTGCATTCCCCTCTTCCGCCCCGATTCAACTTAATTACTTGTCTCTAATACACCTCAATTCTTATCAGAATGGGATAGCTGATTTTATCTTCATTTTTTGGGGTGTGCGATAGACTTACCTCCACGTGGTGCACCCCGTGTAATGTATTCTTATAGGGCAAAAAAGTCTATAAACCGGCAGTCGACTTCAGACTTCAAGCTACAATGATCCTAATTCTATGTCTAATTCGATCACTTCCACCATACTTATCCTAACTTTTCTCTGCCTGTGTGTCTGTCTGTCTCTATTACATCTTTGAATCACTCTTCTGTCCCCCCCTCTCCACTTTTTCTCACTTTGATGTTCCTCCTTCCCTCTGTGATACCCGAAGTCAAGTAAAGGGCAAATGATAAGTATCATAATTCCCGCCATTTGAAATAAATAAAGCTTCTTTTTCCATAGCTCGTCAACTGAAAATTAACAAATGGATGAGTTTTATCATAATATGTCTTTCATTAAATACGTTAGGTCACTTAAATGATTAGGCACTCTAAATATGGGAAACCCACTTAACAGCACAAAGCAAAAAAATAGGAGGTCATGCAGTAGATAGATAATAGCATTTTCTTGAGTTTGGAATCGTTCCATGGTGAATGAAATTATCCGTTATTTAATAACTTTTTATCAGGGATGTGCGATAGACTTACCTCCAAGTGGTGCACCCTGGGCAACGTATCCCCATACCATGACTCCACTGTATGTCACTTTTGACCACTTCCACTCTTGTGTCTGTTTGTCTCTTTAACATCTTTGAGTCACTCTTATATTTCCCCTCTCCATTTTTTCCCGCTTTGATATTCTTCCCCCCCCCCCCTGTGAAGCCCGAAGTCAGCTACAGGGCTAATGATAAGCATCATAAAGCCCACCATTTGAAATAAATGAAGGAATAAATCACTCAATACCAGAGAAATAATATGAATTGGGTGTATGTTATAACTTTTTTAGGATTAAAAATTCGCTTAACAATTAAT